TTTTAAAATGTATATATATTGGGTTGTCAGAAAAGTCATGACTCATTTTTGTCTAGAAAAACAGAAAAATACATTGTAACTTTTCTGACAACCTAATATATGTGTGTGTACACCAACTTACATATACATATATATATATATACATATTTGTACATTTAGACACACATAATGTATACATATATATGTGTGTGTATATATATTATACTCACACATGTATACACCGAGTTGCTTTTGTTTTTGTTTTCAGTTATAAAATTGGGATTTTGCTGTAGATGTGGCTTTGATACACACACATAGTATATACATGTGTGTGTGTGTGTGTGGCACACATATACAGGGTTGTTTTTGCTTTTGTTTTCTATTATAAAATTGGGATTTTGCTGCAGAACACACACATAGTATATACATGTGTGTGTGTGTGGCAGACATATTCAGGATTGTTTTTGCTTTTGTTTTCTATTATAAAATTGGGATTTTGCTGCAGATGTGGCTTTAGGTTACCCCAAGTCTGGTCTTGAAACTGGGTAAGTTTCTTTCCTTTGAAGCTCCCTGAAGTCTGCTCTTCCCTTTCAGGAAGCTGCCCCAGTTGCCTTTCTCTAGAGGAGGAATACATTGTGCTCTAAATGTGTGTCCTCCATGGCTCACAGGCCCCTGGGAGGCCCAGAGTTTAAATTTTGATTATCTCTGAGAGCGAGATACTCACTGAGAACCTTCCAGGGCCCAGCCTAGTGGGAGAGCATAAGGGTAGGGTCAGTCCCCGTGATCACGGTCTTCCTTTGGGAGCTCTGAGGCAATGACAGATACTGCAGGAGCCACTCTTAGTTCCTTTCCACAGAGCAGCTGGAGTTCCCGGCTGAGCCAATCAATTCCCATCACTTGAGAAAGGAAAACAAATTTGCGAGTTGCTGCCCATCCTGCTTGCTTTGGAGGGACCTGAGGAAGAGGTTGCTGGCTGAGGCTTTGATGTCAGACCCCAACTGCCAGCCTGGCCTCAGTTTGGAGGGGAGGAGGACCTTCAGATAGTACCTCCCCTTCTTGGCCTGTGGACTGGGAAGTGGGAATACCTGGGTGCCTCATTGGACTCTCTCAGAGATTCTGGGGCTATCACAGCTGGAAGGATCTGGGCCTTTTTACTATCCCACTTCAAGATTGGAGGGACAGGACCCCAAAAGGGGACACTCAGAAAGTTGGTGGCTGAGCCAGGCCCAGAGCCATGTTGGTTGGCACCAGTCTGGCGTGATTTCCCATATGGCTGCTTTTCACCTGAGGTGAACTAACAAGACAGGCCTGAGGTGAAGAGGAGGAGTGATAGACCAAGAAATCATCAAGTCCACTTCCTGCTTTGTCCATTTCATACTCTTCCAGAGCCTTCCCAATCCAGAGGAAATGATAGTCTCTGCCATGTGCTCATGTTGGTTGGTGTCCGACTGTCATTTGTGTCTAGGAGAAAGTTCTATTGAATGCCCAACTCAGGTTCCTCAGAGACTCTTTTCTTCATTGATTCAACAAATGTCAAGCATTGACAGTCCCTACCCCTTACTGGAGTATTTTAGGCCATGGGAACCCAGCAGGGAACATGACTCTTGCTTCCCTGAAGCTCATGTCCACCAGCTGTGAGACTCTCAGTAAGGGGCAGAATGGCTATACCCAATTTCTAGTCACATAAATCTAGCCAAGGCAGTCTACAGGGCATGGAGTCATGTGTATGAACAGGGTTTTGTTGCACTTGCTCGAGTTACTATTTCTGTAAGCAAACCATCCCAGAACAAGTAGTGCAACCAACTGTTGAATTGCTTATGACTTCTGTGCATTAGGACAGGGCACAGGAGAGGGTGGCTTAGCTCTGCTTCATGGTTTCTGGGCCTTTGTCAGGCAGACTTGGAGCCGGGGGGTTGCCTGAAGGCAGCGTTACTACATGTTCACATCACATGGTGGTTCTCCTGGCTCTCAGCCTGGTGGTCAGTAGGCATGCCTACCTGTGGTATCTAGTTTGGCATAGGTTAGCTTGGACTTCCTCACAACATGGCAGCTGGATCCCAAGGATGCTGCCTTTCTCTTTATTACCTCCCCTCAGAGGTTAGAGAGCACCACTCCTTCTGTAATCGCCTGCCCACCAGATTCAAGGGGAAAGAATGCAGATACTACCCCTCAATGGGAGAAGTGTCGAAGTTGCCTCATGAGATAAACATGTGAGATGGGAGATACTGTGGTGGTCACCTTTAGAAAGTACAGTCTGTTACCCAGTCTGTGGGATCTTTTAAGAGTCCCTAGCCATTGGCCATGAGTATTAAAGTAAGTGAATAGAATAGCCCTTATACCTACCAGCCCCTGTGCTTACTTTGTCTGCATCATCTTCCAACAGCCTCACTGGTGAGTACTTTTATCCCCATTCTGCAGATGGGAAGACTGAGGTTCAGAGAGGTTTCATTGCCTGCCCTAAATCAAATGACTGATATTCATTCCCAAGTATATCTACCGCCAAAGCCAAAGCTGTTAACACTGAAGCACTGCCTGTCCCTAAGTAACTTTTAACCCCAAGGCAAAGTGTGGGAAGGTGGTGAGAAGCTTAAGACAGGCAGCTGCAGCTAAGGAGTTCAGCTCTGGGAAGGCTTCTTGGCAGAGGTGGCGTTTGAGTAAGGCCTTGGAAGATGAGTTGGATTTGGACACTTGGGGAAGAAGGGGGCATTCTTTGTGGAATAACAATGGGATAGAGGGACTCCAATCACCCAGAGAGTTTCTGTGACCCTAAATCCTGCCCTTTGAGCTCCTCACACACCAACACGCTGTAAATCATGCTCCCTGCTGATATGCTGAGGCTGGGGCAGGATGGATAGACTTAGAGCCCAGAAAAAGTAGAGGGGTCTTCAGAAAATTGATGGAAAATGCACATTATGTAAAACCTGTACATGGAATCTTAAAAAGTACATAAAATAAATATGTACTTTAATTCCACTTTTTTCCCAACCTTTTTGCAATCACTTTTTATAAAAGTGTACCCCTTCCCTTCTTCACCCTAACACCATCAGCTTTCTCCTCCTGAGATCAGGAATGGGGTAGAGGCGTCCATCTCCATGTGCACTTGGGTTTCCCCTTTGGAGATGGGGTGAGTTCTGTGTGAATACATATTGGGCCTCAGAAGAGTTAGCATCCCTGGGCAGGCTAGCAGGCTCACTTAGGGCATTGCAAACAGGAAGCTTAATTATCTTGATAGGGATCTTGCATGTTACAGCAGTGGCTCCTGCCTCTCCCAGGCTTCTCTTCCAAGTGTTGTGCTGTGTTTGCCTCCCC